GTAGCAACAGATTTAGCAGTAAGTTCATCGGCTCTGCCTATGTTCCAAAATTATAAGCCATATTTTTGTTTAGATGGACATCTTTGAAATAGATAACTTGTGACTTTGTCATAAAAGACTATGTCTTCTATTTTCTATGATATTCTTAAAGATTTTGACCCATACTAAATAGTAGCCAACAGCTTAATGTCTGCTTCTCACATTGCTCATAAAATTTTTAAAAAGTTTTGTAATTTTCTGCTTTCCCTATCACTCCCTCCCAGTTAGATTCATTCTCAGTAAATGACCCAAACACCTTCATATTGAAAGTAATTAGTCCATAGATAAAATGTAACCAAATTCCTTTACTTATTTGTTCAGTATTTCTGTCTCCAGGTTTTACTTTTTCTCTATTCCTAAGAAAATAAGCTTCCTAATTCTTATCTCCCTGGGTCTACTTTGTTTTTGTGAAATACTTCAAAGATAAAGAAAAATATAGGTGCTAATAAAGCACTTATATACAATCTCTTTGACTCAACACATTTTAGTTTATCAGATTTGCTTTAGATTTCTTTTAAAAAATCAATACAACTTTTGTGACCTTTTGTGTTCATGAGTGAGATTGGCCAGTAGATTTTCTCTTTCATACAGTACTTGTTTTAGAGTAACAATTAGATTAACTTTATAAGGTGAGTTAATGAGCTTGCATTCTTTACCTATTCTCTGGAATACATATAAAATGAAATGGTGGAAGTGCCTGGAGATATTGGTAAAATTCTTCAAGAAAGCTTTTTGTAAAATGTGCTTTGTGTGTGTGTATATATGGGAAGTTGACTCATTTTTTAATAAGTTTTTACAAATTTATCCAAGTTTTCTATTTGCAGCAAGATTAATAGAACTGGAGGGGATTATACTAAGCAGAATAAATCAGAGGGAGAAAGGTAACTTTAGAAATTTATGCTTTAATACTTTAGTTTATCTTCAAAGATATTGACAAAATAATAATGCTTTTAAAAATCTGGTGTTAGTTTATCTGCCTTGTAAATCTACACTTTATCTTAAATTATTTTGCTTGCTTTCATTCCTATTTGTTTATGCCATCTCTCACCAAAGGTTTATCAGTCGAATGAAGAAAAAAAAAACCTTTTTGTGGTGATAGTCATCTTTTACCTTTCCATTTCATGAATGTGTATTCTTAGTCCTATACTCTTCTCTTCCTTAGTTGCATTTTGTTTGATAGTGCATTTATTAAATTCTTGAGTTTTACACTTTACCCTTAATTTTTCAGTATTTTTCCTACTTCATACCTTTAAAAACAATTGAACTGCATTTTCCAAATTTTGGCCTTATCATTTAGAATGCTAATGTTTTGTAATTCCCATTTAAATATTTTGTTCACTTGTAAAACTCTTAGAAATGTGCTTTTGAATGTATAGCAATATTATGGGTATGGGATGCTTAAAAATTCTTCTGTCATTAATACCTAATTTCACTTCTTTATGGACAGAGAGACATGGTTTTATATTGTTGCTCACTGGTCAGTATTCCCCTTATGTTCTTCTTTAAAAAAAAAAAAAAAAAAAGATTTATTTATTTATTTATACAAGCACTGGGTATAGTCAGAAGTGCGGGAGGGTGAGAGAATTCACCAGATCTGTGGGACCCTTGCTGGTGACCGGGGATCACACTGGTGCTGTGGAGGCTGCAGGCAGCTTTGCAGCCCAGCGCTCAACCACTACACCACTGGGGAGGCCCCACCCCTTATGTTCTTCAGGTGCTGATGAAAAAATTTGCGCTCTCTGATGGATCACTGGAGTGCTTACGTTAAATTCATTGGTTCAAGATTGATTATTGGGTTGTTAAAGTATCCTTTGTTATTAAGACATGTCACATTTTTTGGTTTGATATCTCAGTTTTTGGCAAATATATATTAAGACTAGCATGTAATGCCAATTTCTTTTTTTAATTTTCTCAATTTAAAATTTTGAATGCAATGCCATTTAAGTAGATACAGGTTTAAGGTTACTCTGTTTTTCTAGTGAATTATATATCTTTACAACTAAGCAATTACCTTTCTCAACCTCAGTAAAGTTTTTTTTTTCCAATAATTTTTTTTAAAGATTTATTTATTTTTATACAAGAGCTGGGGTACAGGCCAGAGGCGAGGGAGGGTGAGAGGATTCACCAGAGACAGAGCAGGGAACAGAACAGGCAGACTGACCGAAATACACTGCTGAGGGGAGCAGTGGGCAAGACAGGAGAGGTCTGCTGCACCATGTGTGCATCTCCCCAGCCAGCTGGGAATCAAACCCATGCTGCAGAGGCTGCCGACAGCTTCACAGCGCAGCATTCAACCCGCTGCGCCACCAGGGAGGCCCAACCTCAGTAAAGTTTTTAACCTTTAGCTTGTCTGATGTTAATACTATAGTATTGCTCTTTTGTTTGTTGGGAATCATGGCCTAGCTTTAGTGTATCTTCTCATTTTGATCATCATATATGTATACATCATATCATACAAGCATCATATAACTGAATTCTGTACTACTAAATCTTTTAAAATGTAATATAAAAATGCATTTATATTAGAAATTAATTTTCTTGTTTTCTTTTATGCCTCCTCCATTTATTGAGTTTTCCTTTCATGCATTTATTTGGGAGTTATAATTATTTCTTGCTTCTTCTAATAGCCACCTGTAGAGTTTTAACAAAGTAAAGAACTAGTGTTATCACTCTTGTTTCCATAAACCTTGTGTAAATTTTTCTGTTCTTGTCTTCCAATTTGCTTTATCTTTTGTTAGTTATCAGTATCTTTTTTTTTAGTTAGTGTTCACTATGATTTACTCATATTTTTAGTATTTAGTTTAGAATGACCAGTTATTCTTTCATTGTCTTATTTTTTTTTTTGTTTGTTGGGAACATCTACTAGTAGTTATTTTAGCAAGAGCCTCAAGGGATAGAATTTCCATTTTGGATACTAAAAATGTTCTTATATTATTGTTGCCATTATTAGATTTTTAAAAACTTTGTTATTAATGAAACCCTAAATTGACACTTATTTTCTCTTGGTCTTTTGAAGTTATGCCACTGTGATATTACTTATTGATGATAGTTTCTTTGCTTTATTATCATCCAATTATAGATAATGTATTTTGTTCAAAATTGTAGATTTTTTAAAATTATTTTTATTTTGTCATATGAACACATTGGATGGAGAAATGGTAAATATTCCTTGAAATTTGGTGTATTGCTTTATCTGTGGACTCATTTCTTCAATTCTGGAAAATCTTTCAGCCCCTCAGATTGCTAAAATAGGATCATTTGTTAGCACTTCAAATATTGCCTCCCCTCCATCCTCTTTATTTGATTCTGACACTTCTATATATGTGCATTCTGCCTGTTGTAATCCCTGTATTTCTTTCTCTACCCTGTTTTTGACTCGTTATTTTTATGCTGCTTTCTAGGTATTTTCATTAACTCTCAATTTGTTTTTAAGTGATTTTTTTCCTATGCTCTGTACACTGAATTAAAAAAAAAATAAGCATAAATTTTCATTTTTCAAGTTCATTTGTGCCTGTTTTTGAAAAATCTTAGTGCCTTCTTTTTAATAATGAATTATGTGCCTTCTTTTGTCTTGATAGTATATACACACAGTGGAATACTTCTCAGCTCTAAAAAAAGATGAACTGTTACCATTTGTTGCAACAGGGATAGAACTGGAATGAATATGCTAAGCAATATAAGTTAAAAAGAAAAAGACAAATACCAGATGTTTTTACTTATATGTGGAATATAGAAACAAAACAAAGAGTCAGACAGTGCTATGCCTGACATGGGAACAAAACTATATCAATAATAGTCCTAGAAATCTGACTGTAGAATTGAGGCTGCCAGAGGGGTTGGGGGAGGTTGGGGATCAAAGTGTGAAGGGTGCCTAATAGGCTTTATGGTAGAGGAATATGAGTGTCTTGGTGGTGGTGCGGTGTGGTGACAGACATCTGAAGGAAAGTGATCCTAAATCATAAATAGTTTTGTATACCAATGTTACCACAATTAAAATAAAGCAAAATAAAACAAGGGTTGGCAACTGTTTTAGTCAAAGGCCAGATGATAAATCCTGTAGATTCTGCAGATCATGCAATTTCTCTCACAGCTATTCATCTCTGCATTGTAGTACTAAGGCAGACCTAGACATTATATAAACAATTGGCCATAACTATGATCTAGTAAAACTTTGTTTATCAAACCAGTCATTGACATGTATATAGGTCATGGACCATAGTTTGCAGTCCCTTGATTTAAAACATACTTTATTAAATGATATTTAAGTGATTTTCTTTAACTCAAGTAACTGAGGGTAGTAACTTTCTTGTTTTATGCTTCAGCTAGATGTTCCTTGTGGTGCATTCTTATGTGTACATTTTGAGTTATAAACCGTACAAACAACCTTGTGTTAGAGGTCAGTGTGCCTTTAAATTGTAATTATCCTTAAAAGCATTTGGCATTTCAGGACTTTCAGCTAATATTTTTATACAAAGGATTGTTTTTTAAATTATCTTTAAAATACTCTGAATGGTAATATTCTGAAATAATCCAGTACTTAGTGCTATGCCTGACATGAAAACACAACCATCATTATCTCTATCAAAATTAATGAAAATTAACTATCTTGTTATTGTTATCATAGACTAGAATCTATCCTAGTTCCTAGGTCTTACATAATCTACAAAAATTGTATTGATAACATTTATGTTCCCAAAGAAGTCTGCTTAATGAGATTATAATTAAAACACTTCCTTTATACCCAGTATATACTTTGAGTTCAAAATATAGCCAACACTGAATAAAGCATGCTTTGTGAAAATTAAGAGCAAGACAAAATCACACAAACTTCGTGAAGAACTTCTGAAATATATTTTTAAAAGAATGGAATTAAAGATTGCTGTGTATATATATTCAATGTTACCATTTATGTGTTTTTCACAATCTATAGTAAATTCATGTGTCTCAATTCTTTATTATAGGACACTTGAAATGGACCAAAGCTGAGGACATTGACATAGAAACTCCAGGATCTATTCTTGTCAATACTAACTTGAGGGCATTAATAAATAAACATACATTTGCTTCCTTACCTCAGCATTTTCAACAGTACCTCCTACTTTTGCTCCCAGAAGTGGATAGGCAGGTAAGTAGAAGTTTTAGACATTTGATGTTAGTCACCAGTTATATTATTATGAGTAGTACTGTTAATGGAGATGACAGACACATGGATGGATTGTTTTAAAATAATATGTTTGTGTAACTTATATACTTTTTTTTTGCTAGCATTTGTATATTTGTTTAATCTGCTAAACACAAAACCATTTTTTTATTGGTAGTGAGCCAATTCAGATTTTAAAATTCTGCACATTGCCATAGAATGCAAGCAACGACCTACCTATACAGGAAAGGGAAAACAAAGACATCATACATTCCATTATCAAATAAATCTTTGAAGGAGCTGCTCCTTTGCCCAGAGGGAATATTGAAGTGCAGCAATAAAAAGCCAGGGTTTCTAAGAAATTATGTAAATGTTTTTATTCTCAACTCTTTCTAAAAAGCATTTAAAATTTATGTTTGCATTTGCCTTGTGAGAGTCTATCATCATGAATATGATTGCCTATAAATAATCACCTTTTATCTTTTTTAGTATAACTAGAAATGCTGTAAGTGTATTTTTGTATTTTGAAAAGCCTCTAAAATAAGGAAATACAAATATAGCATCATAATAGCTGCCATCAATCATCTTCTAAAGTGATTTCCTTAGAAAAGAAAAGGAAAAAAAATACTTTATCATGGAAACTTTTATTAAATTCTGCAAAAATTATTAAATGATAAGTAGGAAACATTTCTCATGAGTCATATTTCAGTACACTTTGACACTATCTAATTTTCAGGTGAAGATCATAATGTGTGCTTGAATATTCATCTCAAAATCATAGGTACATCCTTAAGATTGATTCAGTATTTCCATATTTCTTTAAATAAATTTTCTTATTTACTTGATTTTGCTGTCTACTAATTTGCTCTTTTCATCCCTACTTAATATAAGATGAGCTACAGTTTCCTACCATTCTTATGTATCTCATTGATAGAGATTATTTGTTCATATTTAGAATAGTATTTTGACCTTAGGTACATTTTTGTTTGGGATTTTGCCTTTGTTTCACAGAATAATATTTAATATATTATGTGAATATGAAATGTTTTACCTGGATATGTTTTATACATCTCTGAAAAAATAGTAAGCACCTATTAAATATTTATTGAATCAGTGATAACATTCTAGTTAGATACATAAACCATGTTTGTGAATAATCAAAATATACAGAGCAACAAGCTTAGTAAATGGAAAAAGCACTAACAAAAGCATATTGAGCTTTCATATACAAAAGGGAAAAAATCAGAGGCAAAATTAACATTCTTAGATTGGGCCTTGAGATGTGTGAAGAATATGAATAGAATAGATGGAAAGTACCAAATGAAAGGCTCAATGATACAAAATCAAAAGCAAATATTGTAGGAGCCTGGATTATAGGAAGAACAGTACAAAAGATTCCTTGAATATTAGGCTAAAGAATCTGAGCACTGTTCTTCCTGTGTTTGCAGTGCAAACCCATGAGGGCTTTGGAGCAGAGCTATAATGTAATAAGATCAGTCCTTTTTAAGAAAATGCTTCTGGCAGTACTACAAGGGACTATTAGGGGTGGGAAGCAAGAAAGTAAGGAAGAGAAGTTAGAGGACAATTTTGGTTGTTCCGAAAAAGGCAAAAATGAAGGCTTGAATTTGAAGAATAGTGTAGAAATTAAAGAGAGGATAATGCAGATATCATCATCATCATCATCATCATCATCATCATCATCATCATCATCTTTCTCCTCCCCCTCCCCCTCCTCCATCCTCCTCCTCCCTCCTCTTCCCCCCTCCACCTTCTCCCTCCTCCACCCTCCTCCTGCTCCCTCCACCACCCTCCTCCCTCCTCTGCCCTCCTCCATCCTCTTCCTCCCTCTTCCCTCCTCTTCTCTCCTCCACCCTTGTCCTCCCTCCTCCCTCTTCCCCCCTCCTCCTCCTCCTCTTCTTCCTCCTGTAGTCATTTTACATTTTGTCAAATACTACTTAAAACAAATACAGGGACAAGACTGAATCTCAAGTTTGAAACCCGTGTGACTGAGACTAGAGGGCAGGCTTTGAAACTTTTTTTGGAGGGCACTGATATTAGCGGTACAACTATGTCTTCCACTTCAACATATATGTGCTTTATCTTGTTTACAGTTTTATCCCCAGCTCCTGGAATAAGACTTGGCATGTTTAAGGTACTCCCATCTTTTTTGGAATGAAGAAGTGTCATATTTTTCTAGGTTTAGCCAAATATTTCTGCAAACTAGAAGACCAGTTGAAGTCGAATATTTTATTCAACCTGGAACAGTTTCTGTTACTTAGTTTTTCTAATATTTGTGAGAAATACAGATGAATAAGGCACATTACCGACCTCCTAGCAAAAATAGTCCATTGGGGATATATTTATTCAAAAAATCTTTACTGAGCACATATGTGTGGAATATATTTAACTTTATTAAATATAGAGGATACAAGAGTGAATCTTAAGGGGATGCAACAGATAGAGGAGAAAGATGCAGGCTGAAATACAAGTCATTGCTCATTACTAGGAAAAAAAAATTAATACCAGAATAGATCCATACCACAGTTAAAGATTAGGCAGAATAATAGATGTCAAAATATAAGTATAAAGAAAGCTCTCTGAAGATATAGATGATAGATACTCTATCTGAAAGTATTTTTGGAGAGGATTTATGGTAGAAAGACCATTTATGTTGAAGACTAGAAAGACTGTAAGACTAGAAGGTTAGAAGGACTAACAGGGGTTTTGTAAATAGAATGAAGAGATGAATTTTGTAAAGGGAGAGCATGACACTTACAAAACTATGTTCCAGGAGATTCAGTAGTTCAGTACAACTGGACCATCTCCCAGGGGGAATTGGTGGGATGCTTTGCTAATGGCTCTGTGCTCTACAGCCTTGAAGACCTGGTTTCAGCTCTCTGAGGTTTTTCTAAAGCCAATGGGTACCATCAGAGATTCTTCAAATGAAAAATGGCACACAATAGAATAATTTAAACAAATATTTTAGTGCCTGGATAGGGGGAGGGGAAGAGTCAAATGATAAAAAAAAATGCAGAACTTATTTTCTCTTAGGATTCAGGAACCCTATGACTGATGGATTAGACAGGCAGAAAGATAAGACAGGGAGACTGGGGTAAGAGACAGTTGCAGTCATTGAGGTATGCGACAAGGCTTGACCTTGGGCATTAGCCTTGAAAATGAAAAGAAAGGACCAAATTCCAGGCATATTTTTAACACAGGTGAAGAAGAATTAATAACATACTGCTCAAGGGATGGATTTGTCAAAGATCTAGAAGGCAAATGGAAATCTTATCTAGGGTGACTTGGGAGGACAGAAAGGCTCTGTGGGCCTATTAATATTGGATACCAAGAAATGTTGAGCTCTCTTTCTCTGTGCCCTATGTTTTTTTAAATTATTCCACATAAAGGCAGGGAGGGAGACAAAGCTCTCTGATGCAACAAGCTACCAAAACTGTTGGCTCTTTCAGTCCAGTTTATAAATACCCAAATGAGGATGAACACCACTATTTTCTGAGGAGAATGAGTAGAAAACATCTGGAAGTGAATCTGATTACATAGTAATCAGTCGATCTCCAAAGGCAATTTCAGTTAGTAAAGGCACAAACAGGATTTATTCTGTAACAAAACAAAATGGGAAACTGGCAAAGGAATGCATTCATGGGGATACCACATGCATTTCCTCCTCCTTTTTCCCACTGACATATAGAACCTCTGAAAAGGCCCCCACAGTTCTGAATGGAAGAATGCTAGATATTAAGGGTTCTGCAGTCTTCTATCCCAGCGTGCATGGAACTCTCTAGTTCCTTAAACTTCATTTACTTAGGGATATAATACTAATGTGACAACAGATTTATTTGGACCAGTGGAATTCCCTATAAGTAGGTGAAATACCTAAGTTTCATTTTGTAAAATCTTATCCTCATATATTTTATAAAATTTTGTCCTCTTTTATTCCTACAAATTTGAAACTCCTAGCTTCTTCATCTCTTTGTTTGACTTCTCTAGATTTCTGGCTGTTTTCTTTCCTGAAGCAATCCTATAGGGCTTCATACTCTGGACCATGGAAAACCAGGGTTTGTTGCATTTTTACATCTTTAAAACATTGTGTTAGGTTCCCCATCTTTTCTTCTCAGAGTGAACTGTCAGTCTATCTGATATTTTGTCTTTTTATATTTGTCCTTTTTTTAGAGGTCTTTTTATCTTAGATTTTTTTTTTAACTTACTCCTGGTTGTTTTATAATATTGTCACATTTATTTTTATCTTTGGTTTTACTCTCCATTATACTGCAAGTGACAGAAAATCAAACTCAAACTGACTTAAATATACTGGAGATTTATCAGCTCAGGTAATTAGAAGGTAAACAGTAGACTTCTGCTTACTGGTCCTAGGATTCAGTAATCATCAAAGACAACTTGATTATTATTTAATGAATTTTTTTTTAAATGTTCTTTCCTGAATTTCTAAACCTGAATCTGGCAGAATGGCTACTTGAATCAGAAAATGGATACTTGTTTCTTGGTTTACATTCATGAAGAAAATACTTTTGAGCTAGTATTTATTTTCTCTTTTACTTTAGACTTTTTTATATTATATTTTTATTTTATTGAGGTGATATTGGGACAGTCCCATCAGGTATTACCACTATAGTGCACCCACCTCCAGCTAACCCATATTCCACTATCATAGATGATTGTGCTTCCTTCCCTCTTTGTGGAAGCATTCCCCAACCTCTGTCCTCCTTGCTCTTCAAGGAGGAAGTGATCACTCAAGGAGTGATCTATCAATGGTTAGTTTTTAAGCTTGTCTTTTTCTGACTCTTAGTTTAGTTACTTTATATTCCACATGTTAGTGACACCATCTGGTATTTAACTTCCCCTTCTTTTTTTAATAATAAATTTTATTTTTATATTCCCCATACAATTGCAACCCCCCCATTATGACCCGAATCCCTCCCCTCCCGCCCCCCATCCCCCCAAAGAGTGTC